GGCAGGTTTGCCAGCGGGAAGGAAAAGCCCCACCGCTACCGTGGGTCGCTTTGCAGACGTTGTCTCCTTGTCCGGATACCCAAAAGCTAAGCCTGCCCCCTGGAAAGAAAAGCTAGAGGGAAAATGGTGATTTATTTAGCTGCAGAGCAGCACGGTTTTTGGAACAGCACCTGTTGCTGTGCTTTAAATGGTATACCGGAACAGAGTTTTGGTTGTCTTGTTAGAAAAAGCTCAAACTCTCGGTATCAAAAGCTATTCTTCTTACTCCGTCCCGAGGGATACTTTGGAACTGTTTAGTCTATAAAACGGGTGTATGTAAGGAATATATAAAACTTGTGTATCGTAGGAAGGATCCATTGCCTGAGTAATGCAGATGCGATTGTGAATAGGTCCTTTCTGACCTCAAAAATCTATGAAGTACTGTATTAGCTCACGTTGGAAAGTGCCTCTGCTGTTCAGGCACCTTGGAAACTTGGCTTTATAACGTTACATTTTGCCGTAACTGGTACGGTTAGCAGACAGTTATTGAGATAGGATGTGGGAAATATCAGCTGCATTGGATCCTTAGGCTTAACATCAAGTATTATAAACAATCGTATGGTATTTTTTTTTAGAAAAAAACCCCACTTCTTAGTTCTGTTGAGGATAGAGGAGGAAGCGCGCAGATTGTTGCTTTCTTGCATGGATATTAGATGAACAAAAGGAGTTTGTAATTCAGTGCTGCTCATTGTCCTTAATACATGGAAACTTACTTTGTTTTGGTTTGTGATGATAGACTGCTAGGTGTAGGATAGACTCATTATCTCGAACCTTTACATCTATAGTGAAGTTGTAGGATAGGAGATAAAGCATATTTTTTACTACTGAGTTTTCTGTTTCTTACATTATGTCATGTTCAACTATCACAGATACTTCATTCGAACCTTCTGTTGCACTGGCAAGTCTTGTGCAGCACATACCATTACAGATGATTACAGTACTCATCAGGAGCCTTACTACAGATCCAAATGTGAAAGATGCAAGTATGACTCAAGCTCTGTGCAGGTACTGTATTTCAGTGTAAAGGGGATAAAGTCTCTGTTTTTATTGGCTTTTCTGAAGTTATCTGTTGCTTAGGTTCTGTTAAAAATGAACAAAACCCGTGAAATACCCCAAACTTTTAAAATGGTATTCTAAGTTAAGCTGTTTAGCATGTCAAGGTAACATATGTTTATGATGCTACGGATGTTCCTGGCATGGTTTCAGTGTAAGGTTGCTGCCTTCATTGCTAATGTGGCTTCTTTCTTGTGCTTCGCTAGGGTGGATGAACAAGAGAGTTAATTAGAAACTAAGAGGAAGCCAGCTGTGTTCCTTTTAGATGACATTTTATGTTTAGGTCTCTCCCCTTATGGGAGATGGTGCAAATAGGAAACTTCACAGGGTTTACAATCAAGCTGAGAAACAAGGCCTTGTTTTCAGAAAATGAACCTTTCTGCTTTTCGAAGGAGCAGAGTGGCGCTGTCATGATTGTCTTACCCATCGTTTCCTCCTCTGAAGAGAAGATTAGAAATGAGCTTCACTGCTTAGTTTTGAGTGTGTTTTCTGCTTGGATATCTTCATGACTTTTTAGTAGGATTCACAGAGGACTGCCTCTATTTCCGTCTTTGCTCAAGACTCCAGAGGTTTTTGGATGTTCTTTGAATAACAGAAGAATAGGAATGATGTACAAACAGTAGCATGTTATGCTTCTTGTGACTAATCTAAATGTGATCAAACATTGAGATTAGTAGCCCTGTTAACAGACTGTGATTCAGATTGTAGTCTTGGTTAGTATATTCAGATATGTGAATAATAGTGATGCAGAAAGGTGACAATGGGAGAAAGAGGAGGACCTTGAAGTTCTTTGATTTATTTTTTTAAAGCCTAGGGAAGAAGCTGTTATTGAGCTCTGAAGGGCAGAAGAACAAATTGAAGCAGTTAAACAAGAGGCTGTTAGAAATTTGTATTGTTAAAAAAACCTCAAAACTTTAAAAATGTCTTTCAACTAAAATAGTTTAATGTCTGCTGTATTATTTTTAACTACATCCATTTGAGTGTAGTGTAATACTTACACGTTCATGTAGTGCAGCACTTGCATATCTTGGCGTAATACTGAGTTTTTTCATGCTGAAAACGTTTTTTGTTTTGACAAATTGAGAAGCTATATTTCACTTGAAAACATAATTAATGAGAAGAAGCAGCATTAATATTGTAATTTGGGGTAAGACATTGTTTGGGGATGTTAAAAGAGTCTGCTTGACTGATCAGATTTTAACAAAGCTGTGTGCCCAGTCTGAAATTCAAAGCTGGGAAATTCAGAAGGATGTGTGCATGTTAATAATTTGTCAATAATGTGACTAATTTTTATGTTAGTGTAATTTTAACTGTTTTGTAGTATTACCTGCTTCAACACAATGTGGTTGTGTAATTGTAGCTTTGGAATGGCTTCCCTGTATGACCCTGCTTAGGGAAGTAATGCAGTGCTGAGCTCTGGGTGTAATAGGAACTGTTGTTATCAAATAAGTGCTCACTCTTAATACTAGCTGCGTGGTAGGTTTTTTCCTCTTGTTTTTGAAAGGGCCATGCAGTTTTACTTGCCTTGCTCATTCTTTGAAGTAATACTTGGTTTTGAGAGCCTCTAGTTCTGTTCCATGGAACTAACTTTTTAGGTACCCCTTGTTATTTTTGCTTGTAGATACTCTGTGTCAACACTGTATCCAGTTTATTTTTCTACCTCTGGCAACCCTTGGCAGTAATCACTCTCTTCTGGCTTAGAGGAGTAATTGTAAAGAGAATAATGCAGCTGGAATGTCTGGAGCACCAAATGACAATGTTGTCATCAGGCTTGCATCATTCCCAGGGGATACAGAACTCCAGGCACAACAAGGTCTCCTGATGAGAGTCAGCAGAGCTTTGGTGACTGCAAATCAGACACCATGTTGCTCACTTCCTAAGGATAACTTTCATGAGACTGCAGAGTCTGTCTAAAGTTGAACACAGATTAATAAATAATCTGTAATTAGAAGACTAATAAATGGAATCTGTTCAGTGAGGGATTGTATTAGGCACAGGTCTGTATAAGAGACATGCTTGCTTTTTGCTGTCATTCTGCTGTTCTTAATTAGCTCAGCGGTTTTGTGAAACCTTACCTGAAGCATCAGTGAGGAAAAGCAAAAAAAACTGATGAATCTTTTCTGGGATATATGACTGCTTTAAGGTTCTACTTCAGAGGTCTCAGAGCAAGTTGACTGCCCCTACTTAGTATCCTGACAGGTATAGTGCTTATTTGCATTTTAACCCAAGTATCTTTGTTAAGAGAAACTGAAAATTTTGTTAAGAAAAACTCCAGACATGACCAGGCCCTTTTACCTGTTGGTAAAATGTAAAGTTTGGTAAAAGACATTAATTTTGGCGGGGGATGCCTGGTAGTCTGAGGATATTCTGTTGTTGGTGGTTTGGTCTTTTTCCTATTCTGAGGGATTTGCACCCCGAGCTGCTAGATTCTTTGTCTGACGTGGCTAAGAAGATAGTTTTGTGAAAGAATTTACTGTCTGAGGTTGCACAGATCATTTTTTTTCTATAAAGAGATACCAGAATTACTGTCCTTGTTAGGCACACATATGGATAGCAGACCTCATTTTAGGGCGATGTGAGGCAGAAGGTCCTCTTGAGGCCTTTGAGATTCTCTTAGCCTGTTCAAACACAAAAAACATCCTCTGTGGTTTTATTCATGATCATACTGTCCCACATTAATATTGCCTTTGTATTAAAAATGCAGTAATTAATTGCAACAGAGCAGGAACCAAATAAACACAATGCAGAGAAGATTTAGTAAACAAAATGTCTAATCCTCACCTGCCAGATTTCAGATTTGATGCTTTTTAGGACAGTCTCAAGCATGTCTGCAAGTTTACTTCTGTGTCCTCTTCTGGCTTTTGTTTCTGCTCTTGAGAGCATCGGCTCTGCTTTTAAGAGCAGAAGCAGATTTTAAGGATGGGAATTCTGTCTGTATCAATTATACAGAGAATGAGCTTTCTCTGTACAAGGTTAATCACATTGAAATGGTGGCCATTTTCCTATTAGTAACAATGCTGAATAGTTAAATAGCTAATTATACTGGCTAGAGTTGATACAGGATAACCTGTCACATAACCAGATCAGTGGGGTGGAATACCAGGAGCCTCAGCTCCCACCCAAAAGCACTGTTACTCATTTGTGTAACAGTTTGTGAGTCAGTGTGGTTGAAAGTGCACATGGTACAAAGATGGTAATCGGATATTTTAGAATGGTGGTTCTAATGTAGGCCTCTGCAGAGTACTCGTTAATTTTCTAAAAAGTTAATTAAGAAAACTAAGTATATTGTCATTAGGCTTAATTTAACTGTGCAAGTGTTTGTGCCAGCCACTGCTGAAAAATACCAAGCCTACAAATTGAGGGGGAGAGGTTTGAAGATGGTAGGGCTGTGAGGTTTGGGGCCTGTTTATTGCAAAAGCAGTTTTGGCCTACTTTTTTGATTCCCTGTTTTAGAAAGTATATGGAAAGGATGGTCAAGATAAACGTGTTTGAATTTAACATCTTGAGGAAATTAGAGCTTCGTGTACATTCAGAGCAATGACAGTCATGTTGCCATGTTTCTTCCCCGAGTTTTTTTGTAGTGACACGGAAGAAACTCAGTAAGGTCTGTGCTTGATTGTTAAAAAGGCAGTACTGATGACTCCTATTTTAGAGAAACCTTTGAATGTTATATGTGCATATAGTACAGAAGTCTAAGATGTGTACATTTTGGAATGTTTACTATGCATTTTTCAGATCCAAATAATAAACTCTGTGTAAGTTTTAAATTGTTTGTGGTGATACAACATGCCCAGAATGCATGTCTGGTGTTGCTAAAGACCGTGATTTTCTTTTTAGTTTGGAATCTGAGAACTGAAACTCTGATTTCAGTCTGTTTGGAGCTCTTTTAATCTGGAGGAAGGGCTGATCGTTTTGCGTCAGATTGATAATCACTAACTATTCCTATTTGTAGTGATAGTGACTGTTTATTATACTGGTTGCATGTAACCTGTTCAGTTCTGTGCTAGAATTTAGCATCTTAATTAGTCTTTATGAGGGGTTCTTTCAAGAAAGAAGTAAAGAAATGTACTTCTAACTTACTGTTTTCATTGAATTATAGAATAGAGTCATAGCATTGTGTAGATTGAGTGGAGCCTTTGGAAGTCATCTGGTCGAACCCTTCTTGAAGCAGGGCCAGCTTCTAAGTCAGACATTGTTGCTCAGGTCTTTGTCCAGTTCAGAGCTTTTTGCAAGGATGGATGTCTCATCCTTACTGTGTAACTTGTTTCAATGTCTGACCACTCCCATTGTGAAAAAATTGTCCTGCTTAATTAGTGGTGCCTCATCTGATTTGAAGAAGGGGATCTTGCAGACAGTTAAAGAAAATTCAAAATATTGCCCAAGTAAAATCTCAGATAAACAAAGCCTAAATTTCCTGTTTTAGCTGATACTGCCTTACAGTATTGTCTGTGTCTTAGAATTGCTTCAACTAATCTGCCTATCTGCCTTAAGTATCAGTGTAAATTGTCTATTAATTTAGAAGGATAAAATACCCCTATTTTCCATTGCTGATATTTCATTGTGTATCCTAGGCACAGATAAAATCCCTTCACTTTTCCCTTAGCTGTAGTGAAATTCCTCCTTTTGGGGCACATGTGGACCTCATGTTGCTGATAGCTATTGTAAGATCCTGGTAACACCTGCTGCAATGTATTTAAAATGACTACATTTTACCTTTTCAACTGAGAGTGTTTCAGTTGACTTCCAGGAATGTAGATCTAAGTTGAAGGTGCTTCCTTTTCAAATTTAAACTTAATAGTCAATAAGTTTTTGCCACAAATTAAAAATGTTAGCTTAATGTCTATAAGACCAGGGTTTATTTTTTTAAATAGCAATATAATATCCATAATATTTAATCTATATGCTTATGTACTTTGAGGAGGGTTGTATTCACTTTTAATGTATTAAATAGATCATTGTTAATTACAGAGTTAAAAGACTTGAAATATAATCAAAATTATTCTCCTGCTTGCTTAACATTCTTGCATTATTTCTTGTGAGTCCCTGTGTAACTATCTGGGTAATACGTAGAATCTTTTTGTTGAGATTAAAATTAGTAGCATATTGGGTTTTTTGTTTTGATTTTTTGTTTATTTTTCATTAATCTTTCAGAATGATTGACTGGTTGTCCTGGCCTCTGGCTCAGCACGTGGAAACATGGGTGATTGCACTGCTGAAAGGACTGGCTGCAGTCCAGAAATTTACTATCCTCATTGATGTCACTCTGCTTAAGATTGAATTGGTATGTTGGAAAAGAATATTGAAAACTGAGAGGGAAAGGAGTTTGTAATAGCTATGCAGTTGCATAGCATCTTTTGTATTACAACAGATATTACCTTATTCTGCAAAGATGATGTAAATGTATCTGTAGCTTTCAGTTGCATGTAATTTTTCTGTCTGTTTAAAATGTTGTGGATTTTGAGATCTGTTTACATTTTTACTGAAATTTCATTTTCTAGATTTACTGAAATAAATGTGGGTTTTTTTAGGTCTTTAATCGACTTTGGTTTCCTCTAGTGAGGCCTGGTGCCCTTGCTGTCCTTTCCCACATGTTACTTAGCTTTCAGCATTCTCCAGAAGCTTTTCATTTGGTAAGTTACTAAATAAATGGTTTTCAATTCTTTGAAATGTCATTTACGTATGATTTCTAAAGTGTGCGTAAAGAGTAACAAGAATTGATGTGCTTGGATTTCCTCTTTGTTTCAAGGTTCCAGAATCAGATTTCTGTGGTTCATGGACCACTAGGCTTTCTAACTTCCAGGTTCAACCACTTAATCTGTAACTGGAAACGAGCATTGTTCTTCCTGGTATGTGTGTATTTTGGCAGTAGCATCTGGGCACCATATTCTATCTTTGACCATATACTTCCAGTAACCCATTTTATCTTGTGTGAAGTCTACTGATAAAGTTGGGCTGCAAGCAGACTTTCAAGCACAACTGTTTGGGGAAAAAAGATAACAATTATCTGCTATATATAACCTAGTCACCCTGGAAAGGTGCATGAGACCGAGAAGTGCTTCACTTGAAAAAAGCTACGCTGCCTTTGTTTCAATGTATGTATGGGCACACCGAAGGATACTACTTTTAATGGGCACTCTTCAAAATGCAGTTCACCAGTTAAAGCTGTAGATACTGGGGTATGACAACAACTGTTTGTATTGGTACAGCAAGATGTGTAGTGCCTTCCCTGTTCTCATACTAAGTGTTTAGCTGAAAGTTTAAGTGAAATATGGGTCTTTCAAACTTGACCATAGTAACAGCCTGGCACACTGATCATCTAAGCTGTCCCCAAGGCTTCTAGGCCTGAAGGTATTGCAAACCCTTTGATTAATGTCAGAGTAATTGCATTATACCTGTTACACTGTTTTTGAATGATAGAAGTCTGAAGTTTGTCTCCTCCCTCTGCTGCCCTAATCTTGGCCCGGGATAGAAATTTGAGTCAGGAATGAAAAAGCCAAGTAGCCTTCAATTTACTCAAAACATAAATATTTGATATGTTTACTGTCTTGCTTTTCTTCCTTGTTCCTGAGAGAGACAAAACATTCATAAGAAAAATGTTAAATATAAGATTTATTCTAGAAATAGGCATTTTTGTTAACAAGGAAAATTTCTACCATAGGCTGCATGCAGTACTGCATGAACATCTATCTTCAGGGCCTCGTGACCATTTTCTCTCTATTTTAAACAACTTTCTTCACTATTGTATTTTGAGTGAAAGTTGTCACTTAGTATCTTATAATATTTTTCTGCACTTAAACTACTTGTTTACATTTTTAATAATAAATGGTCTGATTGTAAAATGGTTAAGTGCATGTTTGATAAATATAAATGAATTTATTTTGAAATGGGTCTGAGTTAACATTCCTCTTCACTATGCTTGAGCATCATAAATGACTTGGTGTTTTTTTTGTAGAAGAAAAACACTCTGTCTTGCAGTTATGATGTAGAACTTACCGTGATGTGTACTGTAGAATTCTAAAATGTACTGATGTATAAAATTTTAATTCAGCCTCAAGCCAGAAGTGATACTTCAGTATGTATTCAAAGTGTAACTTGGAGTTTTATGCAGCATGCTGTAAGTGAGAGTTGGGCTCTCAGTTTGTGAGAGCTGAGAACTTGTACTCTTTCTGTTCTTGCAAAATTATCGTATCTCAGACCGGTTTTATACAAATCTCATTCTTGGAGCTCAATAGTTATTCTTTATTGCTGAGTACCCAGATTAATAAAGTGAAAGAGGGAAATTTTTTCTTTGCAACTTTCGCTGTTGACTCCATAGTGCATTGAATGCTTAATCTTGGTGGTTTTGGTTTTAAACTGGGTATCTTGCTTACCATAAGAGTAGGGTTTGTTTCTCTGGGAAGTAAAAATATTCCTTATACTTAGTGAACAACTGTCACTTGAAAAAGGGGCAAATGAGTATTTTGCACCTAGTCCCTTTCTCTTTGGTGTTTTGAAGTATATTAATTTTAATTGATATGGTTTCCCCAAAATAAGATACTCTTATAATTTTTGTTCTGATTTTAATGTCTTTCCTAACAAACAATTTGTAAGCTAACTTGTGATGGGAAATTTTTCCGTCTGCTTTTTTTCACAGTTAATCCATTTTGATCACTTGGAAACTGACAGAGATGTCTGAAATATTTTGGTTCATAATGAAAAGTCCCTACTCCTTGGGACTGCATTGAAATAACTTCGTTTGGTGTTTTAAGACTAATATAAAAAAAGTCTCATACATTTAAAAATACAGACAGCTGTGCTGAAGGAGGAGGAGGTGGTTTAAACATTTCTGATTTATACCCAATATAAAGTAGTAATGAATCTGAACTAATCCTCAAATAGATGACCCTATCTGTGGTAGGCTTTTTAAACTCGATAGTAAATTACTGTCTTGATTTACTGAGCCTAGCTCCCTCACTAGGTGGAGCTCTGAGCCAGTTTCCATCTTGCAAACTGAATAGAATGGATGTATTCATTGGCTTCAGATCCCAAACATTAGATTCTGTTTAAGGAAAACTGAGAGTTTTGGTTCAAAAACTGTATCTGTGAAATTAAAATAATATACTGCACTGTTAGTGATGGCACAAAAGCAAAATAGTTGCTGTTAATATCCTTAATGAGTACTTTAGACACTCTACCGTTTAAAATCTTAACATGTGTTTTCTAAGTCCATAAAGTTCCAAAATGTGATATGTGAGCTGAAGAGAGCATTGAATAATTAATTGTGCTATTTGAAAATTGTCCTGAGTAAAGAATAATGCATGTTTTTCAAGTCATTGTTTCTCAGCCACTTCTTACTTAAGAACAAAAGGTCCCCTGTCATTTGGCATGTGTAAAACAGTAAAGTTGTGTGTAGGAAAAAAAAAAAATGGAAAAAATGCAATTAACACCCTTTTTGTTTCTTTGTTTTCCCATTCAGGTTGTCCCACATGTGGTCAGTTTGGTCCACTCCTTCAAAAGAGATGGCTTACCTTCCAGTACAGCCTTTTTGATGCAGTTGACTGAGTTGATACACTGTATGATGTACCATTATTCAGGATTTCCAGAGCTCTATGAACCCATTCTGGAAGCTGTTAAGGTATATTAGGAATATTAAGAGGGTGTGATAACTGAAAAGGAAATTGAACTTTCAAGACTCATTTTGGAGTTTTAGAAAGCAGGTATTCTTTATTGCAGTGCTGGCTGCACAGGGGATATCTCCTTCTAGCGTGCACACCCGGCTTCTGGACAGGAAATTAGTTATACACTACAATCATGCATAATTCGGAACATATTTACATATTCTGAAACAATTGGTTAATTTTCTCTTGCTTTGCACGTAAATTACTTCGCATGCTCAGTTCTCTTCCTCTGCCCTTTCTTTTGGGTCTGGGGTGTGTTTAGGGTAGGTGGTCTGTGAGTCGGTGGTCGCAATCTCCCCCTGCCGGAATTACCTATTCCCCCAAGTCACTGCATGTTCGCAGTTCACAAAAACATGATAACAAAGTTTATGCAGTTTCTGGGATGTTCCCTCCAAGGGCAGACAGTTCTTGATAAAGAGTCTCCTTTTTAATCACTCCTGACAGCTTCAAGGATGGTCATCTTGTTAGTTTCTTTAGGTATGTGTAAATCACCCACTGCAGACTAAACCCTTCATGAGACTCTTACACAAAATCTTTAACCCCTTTGTTGTTGGGTAACAGGTGGAATGTTTTTGGTTTGTTTTCCCAAATCTGAAAGCTATAATCCTGTAGATCTATGTTCTTTAGAACTTCCACTAGAAAAAAAGAGCTAACCACATAATCTAATGTAAATTCTAACTGTGTTTGGAATATGCTAGAAAAATTGTCCTAAGTGTCCGTGATATGATTATAGCAGGCTTTAAGAAAAGCCTGAAATGAAATCCTTTATTAAAAAATACTAATTTCTTAAGCCTCATCTAACTATTATTATACTTTCATGAGGTTTATTCTGGGTGTTCCATTTCAACCCAAGCTGGAAACTGTTTCTCTTGAAATATAAGCTCAGAGTGCTGATAGTATTGAAGAGAAGTAGGTTCTGTGAAGTATGTGTCATGATGTTCATCTTTGGCTAGCTCCAAAACACCATTATTAAGTGCTACATCTTAATATTGCAGTCAGTATTGTATGCCTCTGTGGGTAAAGGGTGTTGGCCTATGCTGTTTCAAAGCAAAATTCAGCCTTTTTAGACAAGTATTTAAGTGCATAATGCGCTTAAAAAATAAATTTGAAACAACAAAACAACACCCCAAAATAAATAAAACTGAGGGAAAAAAAACCAAAACAAAAACCCCACAGAAAACCCACTTGGGTATTACTGCCTGATTTTGTAGCAGTAATATTGCAGTTAAATGTTATAACCCTTAAACAGCTCTTACCAATTTAATTCCAAGTATTCTTATTCCTTC